ATGGTAAGAATACCGGTGGTAAACATGATTCCCCATTATATTGCTTTGAAGCCTTATAATGTTTTCATTCATTAATTGGAATGGCTTTATTCTGGGTTGTTTGATTTTAAACAAAATAACTGTATGAACAGTTATTTTGAAGAAAACAATACAATATAGTAGCTAGTGCTGATTTAATATCATCTTGTTTTGAAGTCCCATGAAGCTTTCGTTCTTCTGTCTCCATCAGTTTATCATGTTGTATCTTATTGGATTTTATTGTATGTGATAGTACAAACAAAATTTTTTATAGACAAGGAGATAATATACAAACCATTATTTGTTCATTTTCTGTTAGTTGATTCTAAATACCCTGTAATACTTTCATTCTCTTGAATGGTTTTACACTGTCATCTTGTGTTTGATGCTATAATACACGAAGTTATACTCAAATATTTCAAGGAAAGAGACACTATGGTAGCTACTGTTATGTCAGGTTATCTTGTGGTGAAACACTGTGTTGCTTAAATTGTTCTGTTCCGACCTGTGTTATTATGCTGTTATGTCCTCTTTTATCTTAATCTCCTTCTTTCTTTTAATTCTTTTTAATAAAAAAAAGAAGATTTCAAGCCAATTGATTTTTTTTTTTCTGTTCTCATACACATACTTGTTACCAAAGAGCTGCCTGTGGAGGATTTCGGCCGCTTGAGACAGATGCTTCTAGTGCCAAGACGATAAAATCTATCTTTCAGTGTATCCAGATGACTTCCTTCATTTTGCTGCTCCAAAAGTTTTCAACTTCCTGATGCTCACACGGTGAGACAGTTCCAAAGCACACGCATTTTAGAGGTCTGATTTTCTTTGTCGGCTACTGCAGGAATTTAAAAAGAGTTTACTTTGTCATTTAAACTTGAAGTCCTTTGTATAGAATCTGGTAAACTCTTGTTCTGGACATTCTATCAAGTAGAATGAAATAATACTTTATTCCAAGAGGGAAAGGCAGTGCAGTGGCACACCATATTCAAGCAAAATTTAAGTGTTTTAAAATTCCAGTGTATTGCCAGTTATGGTGACACCTAGCTGTAATCCCAGCACAGGAGGCTGAGGCAGGAAGATTCCTGGGAGTTCAAGGCCAGCCTAGGATACACTGTGAACTCAAGGCCAGTCTGAATTACACAGCGAGACCCTGTTTCAAAAACCAAAACAAAACAAATTCCAGTGTACTGACCGCAAGCTCAATAGTTTATTTTAAAGTTCACTTAAAGCAGTTAAGCAGGTCCAAGTGCAGAATACCTTTTACTTATCTGAAAGGATTACTTGGTCTTACAATATTTGCTATATGTGGGTCAGCAGTATAATTTGTTTTATATTTTTGATTTGTACATCTTAAAAGAGGATCTGTCACAACAACAGTTGCTAAGTTTGTGAGGTAACAGACATGTTAAATAGCCTGACATAACCATTTCACAATGTGTACATATGTCAAAACTTTATGTTGTAGTTCATACATATATACCTTATTATTAAAAAATAAATTTGAAAAAAGTAAAAGACCTGTTTATTTGCTGGGAATATTGAATGGATTACTGTACTTTATTAAGGTTTAATTTTTCACACGTATTTACTGAATTCTCACTGTGTGCCAGGGTCCCTGCCAACTACTGGGTTATAACAAGATAGACATTTTCTACTCTCATGAACTGCAAGATTTAAACACAGAAGAGCTAGAGTCAAAATGAGTCCCTAGGTCTGGAGACATTTCTCTCCGGGCAAACACTCCTCCCATGCCTGCTCCTACTTTGATAGATTCTAGCTCTGCATTGCTCATAGCCATATTTTATAATTGTATAAAGCATCTGTATAATGGCATTGGGATGAAAGGCTGGTGTAAGTCAGAATATATATATATATATATATATGAAGATATGTATGTGTGTATATACATACTGTATATATTTTTGAGCTTTGGTTATGCAATTTGTAGTTGAGAAATTTTCTAATAGTTAAATTCAAATTTAATTTACCATTCTTTCTTCTTCATGGTCCGGTGAATAGTCACACACAGTTATTCATTTCGTCCTTCATCAGTTCTTTACACTAACACGTTCCTCCACTAGCGACTCGTCCTTAGAACTGAAAACGTGTTTCTCACATGAATGTGTTCATGTACCCGCTCGTTTTCTGCGGTGAAATGGCCCTGCCAAGTAGAGCCTCCAACAGAAAGCTCTTGTTTGAATCACAAGTAGCCGTTTCATACCATTTCTCTTCCTCTGGGGCTTAGGAGCCCTTCTCCTTTCCTACGGAGCCTCAGGAATGGTGTCTAAGTGCCAAGTCAGAGAGCAAGAAACATTGAAATGTACACTCTAGGCAGTTTGTATAATTGTTGAGAATCGTTTCTTATTTAAGAAGTCTGATTTGTTAAGCTTACTTTTTCCTCTTGAAACCCACCGTATTTTGGTTATTTATGCATGTTTTAAAGCATATAAACAGCTGGAGTGAATGCAGTATTTTGCAGTGGGCTTTCCTTTACCACAGTGCGTTTGGAAGCACAGTCAGCTGTGAGCAGAGCCTCAGGTTGCTGGGATGGAGGCTGAGAACTGGTTGTTCTTCATTCAGATGCAAGGCCTCAGATCTTGGCTGCCTATGGAGAAGTTGAGACTAATGGCCACCATTTGTGAGCTTACAAAAATATTGATTTTTGCTTGTTTCTTTTGGTTTTGTGTTTTGTTGTCTGTTTGTTTTTTGAACATGGTCTCTATGCAGTTCAGGCTGGTCTTGAACTCACTATGCAACTGGCTTTGAATTCACTATTACATCAAACTCACACCAGTTCTCCAGCCTCAGCCTCCCAAATGCTGGCATTACACGCATGTGCTACTATGCCTAGCTAAAATATTGTTTTAACTTTAAAACTTTAATGGAAAAAAAAAAAAACTTTGGTGAACTCTTTCAGTTTTGCAGAAAATCGTATGATAGATTCCCATGTTTTCACTACCCAGATTTAACAGATGTTGAGATTTGCAACAACATAAAAACTTATAAGCTACAATTTAGAGCTGGTAGGAATTAAGCATAAGGTAGGATGATACAGGAAAGAAGTGGGAGGTAGATGCTCTAAGGTTAGAAGAAACAAACTAAAAAACCTCTGGGCCTCTAAAACCACAATTGTCTGGGTCTGTATGGGTCAGAGACAGGCACCTCTCTTGCTTCGGAAACCCTCACGGACTTCCTTCTTATAAAAATAGGATAATAATCGATGTTTGCTTGATGACCCAAATCATCAGTGGAAGAATAAATATGTCCCATTCGCGCTACTGCTGAAGAAGGAAGACAAGTGTACAACTAATCTGAAAAACATTGCTCCTTGAGAAATGGAGGCAGGAGGGTTACTTGCGCCCAGAGCTTTGAGACCAGCATAGGCAGCATAGCAAGACCCTGTCTCAAAACAACTCCTCTCCCGTACACACACCAGTGACAAAAAATCCACATTTGAGCAAATGTAAAAGCTTTAAAAATCAAGTCAAACATTCAATCAATGTCAAACATTCAAAGAGGGGAAGATTTCGGCTGTATGAAATGTTGGCACACTCTGATATCTATTGTACTGCGAGTGGTAAGAAATCTGTACTCATTACACACTTGTCTTTGCATTTTCAGCAACAGTATTTAAAGCAAACTTTTTAAAACAACATGCAGAAAAGTGCTGGGTCATGTGAGGTGATCTTGTAACAGGGACACGCCTGGGTACCCAGGTAAAAGAAAGAATATTCCAAGCACCCCAGTATCTCCCTGGTCAGCCTTGCAAGGCCTTTCAATTACAATGACTACTCTTGACTTTTAACATCAGTCATTTTTACTTTGGAAGTTTTTGGTATAATGTGATCAGGCTGGAGAGAAAAGCTGTGTGGCTTATTGTTCACCATTTTGTCTTCAAGAAAACACATGTTGAGTACTTCCTTTTTGTATGTAGATTCTTTCCTTCAGGTGTTGGTTGACACAACAGTGATAATGGCAATAAAAACATAGATACATAGATACATAGATAGATAGGTACATAGATACATAAATATACAGATATGGGGGGGCAGGCTGACTGCTCAGGCTGACTTTGAACTTTTAATCCTCCTGTCTCAGCCTCCTGAGTAGCTGGAATTTCAGGTGCTCACTATAGCACCTGTCTAGCGATAATATTTTGAAACACTAATTGAAGTTGAACAAATTGATCTCTATGCATCAGCTTTCTCCTCTATGCAATGGTAATTTTGTCTTTCTCAGGTAATTGAGGTAAGAATTAAAATGTAAACATGTAAATCACTGAGCATGGTGTCCAACACCCAGCAAGGATCTACACACGTGTGCATGTGCAGTGTGCATGTGAGTGTGAGAGATAAGTGAAGTTAAAACACACAACCACTGTCCTGACCTCTCTTTCTTTTTTTCTTTTCTTTTTCCTTTTTGTGGGTACCAGGGATCGAACTCACGACTGCCTGCTTGTAGGGCAGGCGCTTATGCCGCTGAGCTAAATCTCCAGCCCCTGTCCTGACCTCTCTTAATGCAGAGATGAGCTTTGCCTGCTTTTATGCTTCAAATAAACTGAATCCTTCTGTATCCTTTTTAATCTGCAGCTTCTTGGGGTTAACACCGCAGGTGGAACCGGGTCATTAGCTGTAGTTGTTATGATCATTCATTCCCTTTGCTGTACCTTATTCCATGGTGTGTATGTATCATTCTATTGTTGAGGGGCATTTGGGGAGTTTCGGCCATTATAAATAGTGCCGCTAGTAATATTCTAAAACGTGTCTTTTGGGGAACCTGGGCACATATTTCTTTCGAGCATAAACTGGGGAGTGAAATGGAAACAAAGGAGCCTGAGAAGTTGCTGCTGAGAGGCAGGAGTAACGGGGAAGGGAGGCCAAGCAGAAGCCAAGGGAGAAAGGATTCACAAAACGAGTGCCCAGTCTGTCCCATTGTTTATTTTGTATGTTTTTTTTAAATTTTAAAAACACGTTCTGTCTTTGTAGCCATCATCGTATACAGACTCCCATGGACCTGGAAATGCAGCAAGCTCCTGATGAAGTCCATCCACGCCGGGCTGAATACCGTTGCTGCCATTCTTGCGATCGTCTCCCTGGTGGCTGTTTTCGAGAACCGTAGAGCCAGAAACCTCACCAATATGTACAGTCTGCACAGCTGGATTGGCCTGACAGCTGTCATACTCTATGTTTTACAGGTGATTGTCTTAGTATACTGATAAAATACGAAAAGTAAAACCATTAGGGACCACCAAGGTTTTCTAAGCTTTCTTTACATTTGCTTCTATTACAACTCTTTCTGCCACATGGACACTGGCATTGCTGAATTCAGTCTCTGAGTTTGAATGTGGGATTTAAAATACTGACATCTGTAAGTAAGGAAATTGCCATCTCTTAACATCTAGGCTGCTCTTGCTCAGACTTGAGGTTCTGTGTTCTAACTTTAGGTTCTACTAGCTTATGCCCAGCTGTGGCTTTCCCACATTCTCTACCACTTTTCTAGGTTTACTTTTATAAGTGAAGAGATTCCAACTTTTCACTAGATTTCAAAGGCACGGTGATTATTTCCCCATTATTCGCCCTTTTCTTTTTAAAGGCACGTACCCTGAGAACACTTTATTTAAGCCTAATTTTGTAGCAGGCAATGGACAGTTGGCTCCCCTAGGTCACTAAAATAAAAGTTAATGAGAGTCTTTTGGGTCTTAACAACTTTGTTGAAAAATCTTTGTTACCTATATGGACTCACTTCTCTGCCTTATTAGTACAGGGTATACTGAGCTGGTTGGTGAATCATCAGTGTGAACCTTACTTGTTAATAAGATTAATAAAACAGAGTGAATCCACAAAATCCAAGGCTTATTATTCCCAAATATAGGGCTCCCTTAAAAACAGAACCTCTTACCTGGAAATTGTCATTTTTCTTTTTCTGAAAAAAAGTTTCTAAACCTTAAAGCTACTGAATTTTTATTAAACAAAGTTAGTATCTCCAAGAATACTATTATTTAAGTTTGTGATAGCAGATGTGGTCATAGGGATTGGGATTGGCAAGGAGATGGGAGGAAAGTATGGAGAAAACCTGTTATCAACTATAATTTTCCCAAATAAGAAAGAACAAATGAGGGGCTGGGGATTTAGCTCAGCGGCATAAGCGCCTGCCTTGCAAGCAGGCAGTCATGAGTTCGATCCCTGGTACCGATAAAAAACAAGAAAGACACACTCACAAAAAAAAAAAAAAAAGAAAGAACAAATGAAATTTCTGTCATTGGATAGCTGAGCCCAGCTGAGATCGCCTGTCCTCAGGTTGATTTTTGTTTGGGAATTTTCAGCCTCTGATTCACATCTGGCAGGCCTTTTCCTTGACTGCCATCAGCTGATGAATCCCCTCCCTACAGAAGAGGATTGCAAGGGCAGAGCCACTGAGACCTGCAGGTGCTCTGTGCGCTCGTGTGGACACCAGCGTCTCTGCAGTTCTTGCAGCGCTATGCTCTTTGGGACCTCAGTTACCCTGGCTTTGCTCAGTTTCCTGCACCCCGTCAGCATACAGATGCTGCCACAGCTGGTGCCCTGGAGAGCATTGTGTGTTTCTGGCTCATTCATTTGGGTGAGAAGTTTTGCACAGATACCGAGGGCACAGAGAGAAATGACCGTCCCAGAGCTACTCAGTTAGTGGCAGAGCTGGGACTCAGGCCCAGGTCTCTCTGAGTCCTGACTTTCCGCATCATTAGTTTACTGCTGTCTGATCACATAGATTGAAAAGCCTCCACTTTCTGGGTAAAAGTATACTAGATCTGTGCATCCAAGTAAATAATTTTATACAGACTAACTAAAGTGTCAGTTCTGAGTTAGTTTTATGCCAAGACATTCGCAGAACATCTGGAAAGACATGTGCCAGAAATGTTAAATGTGATTTTCTGTAGTTGGCTACATATCAATTGATTAGTTTTCTTTTTACTGTCTGTATTATCTCATATTTCTTCCACACACCTTTTTCTTGCATTATAATAGTAAAGTATAAGTAAATAATTAAATGAATAAATAAATAATAGAAGACTTTCTATACCAGGCTTGTCTTTTAATCAGGGATTACTATAAGCCTACTATACCCTCATTAACATGTTAATATGTAAAATTAAAGGATACTGAAGAATTCACAAAAAGAATATTCTAAAATATATAAATGTTAATTGACTTGACTGTCAGAGAAATGTAAGTTTTTAAAGGCCTTTTTAAAAGAAAAGACAACATATAGAAACTAACCACGTAAGAAACTAAAGGAAAACAGCGAGAAAGTAAATTAATAAAGACAAAGAATTCCATGAATAATTTCTTTACTATCCTATTGTTGCCATAACACATTACCATGAATTTAATACCTTATGAAAACCCAAACGTACAACCTCCCAACAAAATTCCAAGTTGGTTTGCTATCTCTGTTCACATCTAAAACCCCATGCAAGGCTTAATTAAGTAAAACTAAAATATATAACATTTAAAATGAGAAATATAATCATACATAAAAATAATATTCTTAAATTAGGACCAATTATTAAATTTTAATATATGGAATATAGCTCGATGGCAGAACATGTACATAGCATATGAGAAGTCCTGAGTTCAGTTCCTAACACTCCCCCAAATTAGATAGATATAGATAGTAATATACTTTAAAATCTTAAGGAAAAAGGGATTATTTTGTTACCAAATAAAAACTACCAAAGTTGACCCAAGAAATATAAAAATCAACACTAATGATGAGATAAAAAAATAAGAAATGTATAATCTGTAATGAGCCAGGTGTGGTAGCACACAACTGTAATCTCAGCATTCAGGAGGCTGAGGCAGGAGGATCACCATGAGTCTGAGGCTAGCCTGGGCTGCATAGCAAGGCTCTCAAAAAAAAAAAAAAAATATATATATATATATATATATATGAATGACGGGGAAGGCCATAAAGTTGAGAAGATATCCAAAAGTCCTAAGGAAATACGTATTAAAACAACCATAAAATAGTGGTTTTCTCTTGTAAGATTGATGTTCACTGCTGGCTTGATGTCAGGTGCTCTTACATTGCAGTGGGAAACTGAATAGTAACCAAGTATGGGGGAGTAATATCCTAATATCTAGAGATTTATTTTAAGATACTTACCCTTTGACCTGGGAACCGCACCTAGGGGCTTCCTTCAATGAAACATCATACGGACGGGAAACAGTCAGCAATTTTGTCAGTATGGGAACGGTTAAATTATTTGTAGCAAATCCATATATTTTTTGATATTATGCATAGAATATAACCAAAGCCATAGACCAAGGTAGAACTGCATGATGTGTTCTACAGTAAAAAACTACCGGGCCAGCCCAGCAGGGTACACCTGTAATCCCAGCACTCAGACAAGGCAGGAAGCAAGTGTAGGTCAATCTGGGCAGCAGGATTGTCAAAACTTTTTTTTTTTAGATTTTTCAAAAGGGCGGGATGTAGCTCAGCGGTAGAATGCCCGTGGCCCCAGCCCCCAGTACCAAAAAGAAACAGACAGAAACTGGGGTCGGGGGAGAGGGAAAAGCAGGGCAGAGAAGAGAGGAGAGGAGGGAAAGAGGAAGGAAGACTTATATAAAATTGCTACCAATATAGCGTGAGACTAGTTGGGGAAATTATTACATTTTAAATATAGTTTGTTTTATTTGTGTGAACATGTGACTTTTGTACTCTTAAAAATAAGTGAGTCTATATATTTATAAAAAATATGTATTTGTTTTGTTTTGTCACTAAATAAGCAAACAGCATCCCTCCTTGCATGTGGCAGTACTCATGTTATGCTTGCACGCTTACATGTGCCTTCCCGAGCCAGGGGACCAGAGGTTAGTCCTAGTCTAGAAAGATGCGACATTCCAGCTTTATCCCTTTGTTGTGTAAAAGCTATTTTTAGGTTGGTTGTATTGTTTCTTCTTAGAAGTGACAGATCATGAAGGTGAGCTCAGGCAGAAATTAAGTGAAATAACATTCTCTTTCCTAATGTTAAGAAAGTTTCTAAGTTTGCCTGTCTTCATTTTTGATGGAGATGAAACTCCTTCCTTCTCAAGATTTCAGATTTCTGCCCCATAATGTTAGCTGCAAAAATATCAGAACCACAAACATACGCTTTACAGAGATAATATTTTTCTGTAAAATTCACAAATGAAGTTAAAAGCCTTAACGGGGAAGCAGTTTCACTTTCGAGAGAACCACAAACAGCGGTTCTTGGGGCTGTGGCCTGTGGGTGGAGAAAGGAAGCCCCAACCCAGGGAGCGCTGCCTGTCATTCTGCTCTGCACTTTAGCCACAAAGTCTAGTTGTCTTCTCTTGTCAGCCGATTCAAGAAACAAAGCTCCTGCAGAGTGTGAAAAACATGGGAGAGATTTTCAAGATTAGGTCCTCTCTGTAGCACTGTTGAGGGTTTGGGTTAGCCACTAGATGTAAAATCAGGGTTTACCTGCCAAAGGAAGCCAGTGTCTAGGTTATCTCAATTAACAAAACAAAACAGGAGGCCAAAAATAAAACCACATGACCTAAAACAGTTAAAAGGTCTCAGCCCTCCTCAGTGAACTGTAAACATTTTAAGGGCAGAATTCTTTGTGAGATTTAGCCTCTGGGGCATTAAAAAACAACTATTGTGTGTGTATAAAGCTATGAGTTCTCATAATAAAATGAACTTCCATGATTCCCATCCAAACTAATTTAAAAAAACAGAGAAGCCCCACCTACCTGCCCACCTGGTAAATGCACATTTATGTACCCACCCAAGTAACTTAGCTTGTGTTTTATTTTGTTTTTGTTTTCCCTCATTGTATGATTTTCTTTATACGTGTACCTTTTGGTTTATATCAAGAATGTCCCCAAAAGTCTAACAAGCTCATAGGCGGGGCCTTTGGAAGGATGTTGGACCCCTGGGGTCCCTACTAACTTGCTGTTAGGAGGTGGGGCCTTGTCTGAAGAGGCCTCCTGGGGTGTGACTCAGAGGCCTAAGTCCCTTTTGCTCTGTGCTTCCTGGTGGCCTAGGCTTGAGCAGCTTTTCGCTGCCTCTCTCCCACCACGTTGTTGTTTTCCCCCAGGAGCCAGCTGACTATGGACTGTCACTATGAGCCCAAATAAAGCTGGCCTCTTTTCAGTTATGAGTGCCCAGTCTCGTGTTTCAGTGACAAAAAAGTGACTGAGACATACTTTGATCCAATACACTGTGAATTGGTGTGTCAATAGCATTTAAACATAGTTTAATTTTGCCTTTTTAACTTTAAAAAGGTCTCATATACTAAATTCTATTGTGACCTTTAAAAAAAACTTAAGCGATTGACCTCTGTTGATTCCTCTAGCTAGTCTATGCGTGCTTCTGCATTCCACTGTTAAAAGGTACCACCGACTTACCTGCACTCCTGCTATTAGACGTTCGGGTTGTTTCCCTGTTGCAAGCAATGCTGCACAGAGCATTGCACGTCTCCTGGTCCACATATACCAGGGTTTCTCCGGGCATACACTTACGTGGAACTATACGCTCAACTAAAAGAAAAAATAGCACCAAATTGCTTTCCAACATAGCTGACCCCAGATAATATTCCTGGCAAGAGTATTTAGGTTTTCCCACATGCCACATCCTTGTTAATATACATCCTCTTTAAACCTTTTAATTATTCTAAACAAGCAGGTATCAAATGATGTCTTTTTGGGGTGTCAAATTTCGTTTCATACATTTTTCTCTTTTTTTTTTTTTGACACATGGCCTCACTATGTAGTTAGGCTGTCCTTGAACTCACTGTGTGCCTGTCCTGCCCTTGAGTTCAGAATGATCTGCCTGCCTCAGCTTCCTGAGTGGCTGGGCAAGCTGGGCAGGGCCGCACCACCTTGCCCAGCTCATTTTCTTTTATAAGAAATACCTGTTTGTGCCTTCTGTCCATTTAAAAAGTAAGTAAGTGTGTGTTTTTCCTTAAAGGTTTGTAGGAATTCAGTATCAAGTGCCCTTTTTTTGTATATTAATATATCTTCTTCCAGTATAAATCTTGCATTTTCTCACTTTTGTTAGTATTTGTTGACAGGTAGAAAGTCTCAGTTTTAGTACAACTAAAATGAATCATTTTTTCCTCTAAGGTTATCTCTTTTTTTAAGTTTTATTTTCTTTTGGTGACTTTTTAATGAAACCCTGCCCTACCCTGAGATCAAAACAATCTCTTTTTATTAAGAATAGTAATGTTTTGTCTTTAATATTTGAGTGCTTCATTCATCTGGAATTTACTTTAGCTCATGATGTAATTTGGTAGTTCAGCTTCATTTTTCTCCAGATGGGTAAGTTGTTTTCCCAAAACCATTTGCTGAGTCGTCCCTACTCTGCAGTGAGGGTCTTGTCACGTATTTTCCCTCTGCATTCTACTCAGCACGGGAGGAGTTGAGGCGCATGGAAGCATTGAAGCATGTAGAAGTGCATAGAAGTGGGCTGGGGATTTAGCTCAGCAGCATAAGCGCCTGCCTTGCAAGCAGGTGGTCATGAGTTCGATCCCCGGTACTGATTTAAAAAAAAAAGAAGTGTAAGAAGTAAGCAGTACAAGCTTGGGGATGTAGCTTGTTAATAGAGTGCTTACCTGGGGGGGGGGGGGGAGGAAGGAGAGGCCGATGAGGGGGAGTTGGGAGTTGCAGTGAAGAAGGGGGAGCAGCAGAAGAAATAAGCATCCCTAATTCTGATTTTAACATTTCTAACATTTTACTGTTTAATACAGATGCTTCACATTTCTTCCTATCTCTGTAAACAGGTTTTTCTTTTCAATTCAGGAATGCGTGTGGAATTTTATTTCTGTGTCTGTTGCTTCTTCTGTGTCTGTTGGGATGGATATAGTTTTGCTTTTTTTACTTTGTTAATTTAGCCAATTACATCCATTGATTCTATTTAAAACAGACCCAATTGTCTCAAGATTCCCCATGCTTTCTGAAATATCTGTGTTCTTCTCTCATGTTTTTCTTTGTGCTCAATGGACTTCTCAGAAATGGTTTTGTAACTTCTTGGCTTTTGTTCACTGGGAGGAATGTTGGCTCTTAGCTTCTTTCTTGCTCAGATCTGGAAAATAGGAAGTGTTTTAAGCACACAGGTTTTGCAATCAGGGAGACCTTAGTTTGAGAAAGATTTATCCATTTGGTGCCTGGCAATCTTATACAAATTATGTAAAACTGCTCTGGATTTACTTTTGCTCACTTGTAAGTAATGCTTATGATCCTTCACAAAACCTTGAAAATCAAATCCAAATAATGCACCAAAAGGCTCAACCCAAAGATTAATACACACTGTAATGCCCCAAATTAGCTGTTATTATCTGAAGGGTGAATCTTGTGGTAGGCTCTTCTGTAATCTGAAGATAGCATTTTCCTATCTACTCTGGATCACCGTTATGACTGAGAATACGCCTTTTATGTTGGTGGAATTTTATGCCCAAAGCCAGTCAACAGAGTTAGATACTTGGGAGATACACTGTTCCACAAGATAAACATGGACTTAAAGAATGTGGGCTCTGTGCTCTTGTGAAGCTTACAGGAGAAAATAGGCAATTGAGTATTTGGTGAATAATGCTAAGTTTGGAGTCTGGTTTCCTTTTTTAAAAAATATTTCTTTTAGCCAAGCATGGTGGCATACACATGTAATGCCGGCTACTTGGAAAGCTAAGGTAGGAGAATATCAAATTTGAGGCCAGCGTGGGCGATTTAGTGAGACCCAGTCACAAAACCAAAATAAAACATAGTAAAACAAGACTGTGACTGTAACTCAGTAACAGAGGGCTTGCTTGGCATGCATGAGGCCCCAGGCTCGATCCTCACTACCCTCCCCTAAAAGGGAATTTTCTTTTAAGATTTTCTTTAATGGTATAAATGAATTTTTGACCTCCCACCTACTTAAATCATTGAGGCCTTCAGATTTTTAAGACCCATATGATAAATCATGAAGAAATGGAAAGAAGATATTAGAGATCTTAGGAATAAAGATCAGGAGAACACAAAGGTTAGAAGTATATATTCCTATGGGTAAGTCACAGAAAAGCTATATGGTGCCTCATAGAAATACACTTGCGTTTAATTCGTTTAGCTGAGCCACAGTTTCACATAGAAGGCGCAGCATGGACGTCAGGAAGCTTGCTCATCAATACTAATAGAAACTCTGAAGGAGAATTAGGAAAATTTTGAACCACCAAAGGGAGCCCTCTGAACCTTTCCTAACAATATTCAAGCATTTATGGTATTAAGCGGACAATAAAACACGCACACCAGCCTATCAAAGTCACTTTTATTATTTTCCATTCATCACCACTGTGTATTACACATATTGCTTGTAAATGTATTTTGGGCTTTGGACCCTCCTGCCCGTGCCGCTCAGTCTTGGGTCTCAGTCAGGCAGGATGAACAGTGATTTCAGTGGATTTTTTACCCATTCTTTCTCCTACCCCGCTGTTTTTTTCCAAGTCATTTTAAATGGGTAGAACCTGGGGAAAAATGTCTTTTTAAACTCAGTGATCCAGTAGCTGCTAAGTCATCTTAATTTTCCTGAAGAAAATATTATTAGCTCAGGGAAATGGGGCAACAACACAAAACTGGAGAAGTATAACTGACTTTATTTGATATCCCACTAAAGATTTAGTCATCAATGAAATGGAGGTAACTTTTCTACAGAATTCATTTTTTCCTTTGTGAAACAAAATTGTCATCTTTCTACAGAGCTTTTTAGGCGGAACTGACTGAGTTATGCATCCTAATGTGTTTGTTTTTGGTGACTTAATCTTTTATTTCCCTTTTTACTTGACAACCTTAGGAAATTGATTAAAAACAAATGCTGTGGCCCTGTTAATGTTAGAAAAAAAAGCATGAAAACAGAAATGTTCATAGAGAACTGAATAAATTGTTATATATTTAAAATAAAATGTTAGTGAATAAAAATAATAAACTAGTTAAACATGTGTTGAAAAGATATACTGTTAAGGAAAAAAGCAAGGTATAGAATAATATGTATAGTGAGGTTCCCTTTAGGCATTAAAAAGGCATGTATGAAATACACACGATATACTTGTACAGGAATGGACATTTTCTAGAAGGGTCCATAAGTAGGTGATTATCATGGCTGTCATCACTCTGGATAGTGGAACTGGAGTAGAAAACCTTATTTCTCACTTTTCACATATTGTTTTTATAATACCAAGTTAAAAGTCAGTAAAACAAAATTAAATGCTAACCTTTGCACTTTTTGGTGTTTAGCTTGTCCTAGGTTTTTGCATCTTTCTGCTCCCATGGGCTCCACTTTCTCTCCGAGCAATAGCCATGCCCATACATGTTTATTCTGGACTTTTCCTCTTTGGGACAGTGATTGCAACAGTCCTTATGGGAGTGACAGAGAAGCTGACTTCTCCCACGTAAGTTGCATAGACTTCCTAATCATAATATGTCAGCTATAAAATGTTCATACTTCTATTCTAGGAGAAACAAATTTAAATGTAACAATATTTAATATTAAAAATTTAGGCCTTAACCTAGTTATTTTTTAAATACTTAACTATATCATATGTGGACTAGGACATTAATAGAAGCTTAGCAGGTCTACTCGCACGAAACACAGATGGGAGCTGAACATTACCTTTCCGTCTTTGGTATGCATGTTTGTAATTACAGTACACATGCATTTTTAATTTTCATTTTGTTTTCCAAGTTTTAAGTGGCACAAGTGTTCCAAGTGCTATATTATTTTCATACTTAGGAATTTTAGCAATTTTTATAATATCCTAGTGTGTGAATTATTACATAATTTAAATCTAATCTTAATATCAAGCGTTAAAGGAATTTACATTCAAACTGTATCCATGTATATTTTGAACCGATGAATTCAATACTATGCTGTGTGGTGCCATATTGACCTATCTGTAATTGAATGCATTTTCTCTTTTTTTCTCAGCACAACTCCCCCATACAATTCATTCTCACCAGAAGGTATTTTCACAAATACCCTTAGTCTTCTGATTGTGTTGTATGGGGCCCTCATCTTCTGGATTGCTACTCGGCCACAATGGAAACGTCCCAAAGAACCAGATTCCTCCATTCTTCAGTCCAAAGGAGGCGCTGGAGAGGAAGTGGAAGGCACCATAACCATGAGCTTGGGCGACAAATCTGAAGCAGAGTTAAACAATGAAGTAGCAGCCAGAAAGAGAAACTTCGGTCTTGATGAGGCTAGCCAGAGGTCTACCATGTAAAATGTCACTGAACCGTATAACTGCACATTTTAAAATACAGCCATATAAATTCACCTTTAAAAACTAGCTGTACAGTTTCGCTTCTCCTAGTCATAAGATGATCAAGCTACATAGTGTCAATATTTGTTGTGATCACCGTAGAGCATTTCTTGAAAGAATTTGTAATGACTGAAGGTTCTGAGTTACATGAGTGGGAAAAGACACAATCAATATAAATAATAAAAGATATAAATTGTGTTTATGTTACATGTTTCTAATTGGGGACCAAACCTTTGTCACACTGGCTTACATGAAACAAATGTTCAAAGTTTGTCTGTCAGGTGGTTGATCGGATAAACTAGCAGCACCCCTGGCCTCCTGTTGCTTCTGGGAGCCCAGTGATTTCAGAAGTAGGTAGAATCCATTGTAAAGTTTTAAAATCAGATCACCAGTCTTGGGGACTGGGTTTAGATCTTTATCCTACACAAATACCACGACAGAACAAAAAACTCTTCAGGAAAACAACAAGTTCCCTTTCTCCCTGGCAGACTTCTGCTTCCTTCCCAGCTGGTTTGGGCTCAGATTGGCTCTGGGTACCAGTCTTTCTACTACGGTATTTGGGAAGGTATTTGGGCTGTTGGTAACCGAAGAGATCTTCCCTCGACAGGCTCAAGATTTTCCGTAACTCAGCTTAGTCTCAAAACCTCCTGGACTGATACAGTCTAGATTCTAGACCTCTTAGAATGAAAATTTGCCTGAATGCTTAAGCAACCTACACCACTCTACAAAACTCAAAGAATACTTTTCCTTAGTTTCTGTGGGGGTTTTTGGTTTCTGTTTTTTTAAGTAAAGTACTTACGTGGCCACTCTTTTTAAGCACTTTATAATGAGCTCCCTCCACCCTCAGAATGAGGTGGAGATTACCCCATTTTACAGGTGAGAGATCTGAAACTTGGAGTAATTGGTAAGGTGACCCAGTGTCACACAGCTCATAAGCAGGGGAACTCACATTCACACACTGGCAGCTGACTCCTGTTTCACTCTGCTGCTCCTCTATTGTATACTAACCATTGCACTCTGCTGCTCCTCTGTTTTATACTAACATGCATCACATTGCTGGAGTGGGGTAGAGTGGAGGTATAAAGAATGCTCTTACCTTTCACTGTCTTCCAGGAAAATCTCCCAGGTAGCCCAGGGAAAGGGATCTGCTACTCCTGGATAGCAGTCAAGAGCCCTCTGCCACCACAAGTCATAACCTGCCTTGCTACCCACTGAATCTTAATGTTTTGTCTTGCTGACAGAAGGAATGGGGAAAGCAGGTCCAGGATTTAGGAGGCATTATGAGGGATTGGACCAGGGCCTCCATGCTAAACAAATGTTCTGCTACTGAACTACTTCCCCAGCCCTGCTCTTCAGGATCTTAGCTGCTGAGCAGCTTTTCAGCTGGAGAGATTTATCTCACAGCCTTCCTGACTTTTCCTGCCTTTTGTGAAATTTTGAGTCTTGGATTCTTGGTCATGAACTAGGGCTTAGGGATGCTAACTTTTCAGGCATGGGAATCTCTATCTAGGCTCTAAGCTGATTTAAAACTTAGAGTAGTAGCTATGCTGAAATGATGCATTTGGGGTTTTGGTTAGGTTTGGCTTCCATCTGATTTTAAACTGAAGCATTGAAAGCCAGTGTGGTAGCCCAGGCAGGATCATTTGAGGTCAGAAGTTTGGAGCCAACCTGGGCAACACAGTAAGACTCCATCTCTTAAAAACAGCAACAACAAATAGAACACTGCAGCATTTTAATGTGAATAAGAACCCTATGTTTTGCACCAAATATATTTAACATTGTTGATGTTTCAAGAACTTTCTTTTAGGTAACAGGCTATTATTTCCAAAGGCTGAATACACCTTATACTGTATCATATTCCTTAGACTTGGTGAATAACCATTCAGGATTCCCTAACTGCAATATTTTGGGTTTTTATTTCTTATTTAATTATGTTTCAAAAATTGTTACTAGTATCAGAAGGATGCCAAGACTGTGTATATAATAGCATAATTAAACTCTATGAATGCCAAGTGATTGCTAAATAGTTGCATGGTCACCTGCAAATGTAGTTTATAAATGGATGTCTCATTACATAGCTGTGCACACACGTGGTTTTTTTGGGGTGAGAGGGGCGTAGCGACTGAGACCCAAGAATGAAGGCCCCATTCCTTTTTTACAGGCCAACAAAGAGATTATCAGGGTAAAGCTAATTACTCAGCACTAGAATAGATGACTGCAAAGTCTTTGAGTGCCCCTCATCTCAGCCTTTTATTTTCTCTCAAGCAGGCTAATGTGAGGGTAATCTTACAGATATTATAGGAACCTCTTTCTTCTTCAGCACTTATAAAAAGGATGCATAGTAAAATAATCTAGAAAACCTTTCTATTTGAGACTTTCCTTTTAATGGGCTCTCTTTTCTAATGATAATTGCACTTTTATCTTTTAAAAGCTAATATTTCCTACTTAAAGCATCTCCCCCAAAAATATCACATTAAAAAGCCCACAAAGAATACGGGAGAAGAAAGACTTAGGTATCAATTCCAAAACAGTGATTGAAGCTTCTAAAATAATTATAGCTTATATCATCTGTGGAGATAATCTGGCTTGGCTTACCCCATAATCTAATTTCAAAAAAGAAAGCTTTATTTTAACACTCATCTAAGTCAACATGAAAGGCTTTTCTTTTGAAAGGTTTATTGAGAAACTCAAATGAATATACTTTATTGAATTAATGTCATCAGAAGTGTACAGTTTCCTGTACTTGTGTCAAACTGAATCCACCCTCTAGCACACTTTCTTTACTTTAGGGTTTCATTTAAGCTGTGCTGTTTAGAAATAGCATCTCAGACCTTACAATGAAATGACAAAGAAGGCAATCGTACTTTTTAAGGAATACTGACAAGTGCTTTCTGTCTTCTGAAAAAAGAAATAAATTGTGTGTCTTGTCTTTAATTAGGCTCTTCTCCCTGCTGAGTTGAAAAACCCGAGCAACACTGATTGACCACAACTGCCAAATTTAAAGCCCAAAGGAAGAAGTAACCCTTAGTCCAATTTTGTTACAATATGATAGAATTTTTATCTTGATTTTTTAAAAGATAAACTCCAGCAGGAAACTGTAACTTCTATGTCATGGCTACACATAGGAAAATATAGAAGAAAGTTATTTTTTGTCTGCTACAAGGTACCCGAGAAGTTTAGTGGAAACAAAAGATTTATCTTTTAAATTTGTCTTTTTATCTTGGCAGACTTGGGAAAATATTAAATATGTTTAATATTTTATAATCTTGTAGAAAAGCTACTCGTTTATTTTTCTTTTTATATAGTAATAAAAAGGTATTTTGAAAGCTTTTCGTGTGCATTATCAATTTGTCCAGCAAGGTATAGGAATTATTTTGAAAGTTTCTTTTTCATGGTTTTTGGAGGGGATAATTTCTTTTTAGTTCTTTTATTGAAAATGCTGTCAGATTTCCCTATCAAGTGTATTTTGAGTACTGTACCTTTTACATTGCTAGAAGTATCAGACAACTGTTTCAAAACTGTCATGGTGTTCCCGTTGCTTGTGGTTTAGATCTAGAATGTTCCCCAAACACTTCATGTGTTTAGAGGCGGGGCTTTTGGATCAGGCGCTACAGGTGAGTTGCCTTCAGCAGTCTGAGGCTGGTCACTGGAGAGGTGACCTGGAAGGCTGTATCAGCCTCCCTGGGCCCTCCTTTCTCTCTCTGCTTCTTGGCCATAATGACGTGAGCAGCTTTCCTTTGCCCAGGCTATTCCACCATGTCTGAGAGGCAGCTTATCAGGGACTGTGGCTGTGAACCCAAAACTCTCTTCCTTTATGGTGTAGGTGTCAGCCACTTTGCCCTAGCAATGAGGAAAGTGACTCAGAGTTGGAGTCACACTCTGCAGTCTAAAAGGGTACATGGATACAAGCAGCCCACACGGGTGTGGTGTGAGTTGGGAAATTACAGAAGAAGAACCTAGTAAAGTAATTGTTGTCGTAAAATTCTTTACAGCAACTTTTCATGGAGAAAATGTATAATTCATTATGGATGAACTACTTTGCCTTTCCCCACAGTAAAGGATCATTGATACCCAAGTAATGCCTAGACTCATCCAGCTCTTCATTTGACCACTCATTTAGGCTTTTTTAGCTTTTTTATCTGCTAGAAATGTTCATGATATTTCGTGTCACATAGCCATGATAGTATAAGATTAGGTCCTATTATTCAACATGGCTGCAATACATATGAGTTGAATTTTTATGTTACATCATATTTTGTCACAGATTTATTTTCTTAATTTCAGGGGTACTTTATTTAGATTTAGATTAATTGACAAGTGCTTTTTGAATTTTACATACATTGGAGCATATTACTGTATAATTTTACACATATCAATTTATTTAATACCATTTGGGATTGTGCTAGGCATGTCAATTACATGCTCCGGTCCCTCCAAGGGACCTCTGTTTAACTAACCAAATGTCACCTATGTCTTGTCAGCACAGCTAACTGGACAGGATGAGAAAGGACATGGCTACCACCCAGGTGCAACCTCTCCAAAGCAGGATAACATACTACAGACTGGCCTGGCATTAAAAAACAGCGGTCATGTTGCTTTTCTTTCTTCTTTTCTTTTTAATTTTGGGGTGTTTTTTTTTGTTTTAATTTTAAAAACAAAAGAATAAAAACATTGATACAGAATTTCAAAACAAAATAATAGGAAATTAACACTAGTTAGTGTATTGCATATTATCTTTAAAGTAGTTCAGTTTATAAGAGCATAAAAACGATCAATTGAACAATGAAAGCACAAACTTTTTTTTTGATGAGTAGTAGAGATTAGTAGTATAGTTGTCTATCTTGTATATATAAACATACAGCCTTTTCCTTTTCTTTTCTCCTTTCCCCCATCCCACTTTTGTGGGAGACATTTGAGTGACTCCCCTTGAATGCAGAACAATTGCTGCAACTTTGATTATATGGAGACATTTCTTTATACTGATATATACAGAGCTGACTGTGGTATTTCCTTCTCTCTTCAGTTGGTTCTAAGCATTGCAAATAAGGCTAGCCCAGGTACTGGTATGTAATCTCTAAAGCCATCAGACAGTCTCCTGTTTCCTTGCGCAGTGCTCTCTGTAAAAGCTATGAGCACAGTAGGATGGTAGAGCCAGTCAGCTCCAGGAATGTTAACTGGATATGAGCCTTGAGATAAAG